AGAGTAATTGCCTTATTTCTGTTTCATGTCTGAACATACTCGTATGTTAAGTACCTCAGGTCTACATACATATCTGCACCTGCTCCGCTTATACTTCAAGACGCAAAGTCTCTTCTCAGTTCAAGTTGTCTGTGTTTAAAATTTAATGTCTTTTGGTCAATACATTATAAAAAAAATATGTTAATATGTAGCTGCAATGCTGCGTCTCTGTGAAGCCCATTGATTTTTGCTTTCCCTTTTTGAAGTGCTGTGGCAGTCCAATTACATGCAGGACCATGGTTAATAACACGTTATATTCACAATGACATTTCCAGTGAAAAATGAAAGCTGTAGCGTAATATCATCCCACCCAAAAAACATTAGGATTTCTTTTCCCACAGTATAAATGTGTATGGCCACAGGAGACTCAAGTACCATTTTATGCCATCTCCCTGACATAACGAAACATATTGCTTCTGGTGTCATTAATCAAGTTAATGTTGAGTAGTTCCTCAAGGCTCCTCATTAATTTTGTATGTATTAGATAATTATATACACCTGGATGTGGAAAATCTTAGAAAGTAATTTCTTATCTTATACTAGTACATCTTATTGAAAAATTGAGAACATATTTCATTGCGTGCTGAATCCTTATGTCTTAATTTCAGAGCACAATTTATTTAAAATGGCACTCCCTTTAATCTGTAATGCTGTCCATTTTAGGCATGATTGCTTTTGCTGAAAGGAAGCTTGATGTACAAAGGAAAAGTGAAAGCTTGTCTTTCCAAACTTCTGTTAGCCCAACAAAATATGTTATATGATACTAATCTAATCTGTTATTTTACATGTGCATCACTGGAGTAATATGGCTATCTATCTATCTATATATATATAGATATAGATAGATAGCCATATTACTCCAGTGATGCACATATAAAATAACAGATTAAATTAGTATCATATATATATGAAACAAGAGGAGGTTGGCTGCACTCACCTGAACATGCATAAATGGGGGTGCTGCTGGGGGCCAAATAATACAATACACAAGATCCAGCGCACTCACCTATCCACTAAACAGCAACTTAAATGTTGAAAGATTTTGTTTTTTTAATCTAGGCAAAAATAATGGGGGTTTAGTTACATTATATGATCATACATTGCATAATCCTGCCACAACGCCAATGTACCCCATCTTTGGCAGGTCCTACACTAACAGCCTAATGTCTGCTCTTATGAGATTAACCTACTTGGGGAAAAAAATTCCATCTGGGGCTCTCTGCAGTACAAGGCTAAATAGGGCCCTGGGATGAGGCACCTGTGACAGGGAGGAGCCAACTCCTTGGTTTTGCACCCCTCCCTGTCACAGGTGCCTCATCCCAAGGCCTTATTTAGCCTTGTACTGCAGAGAGCCCCAGATGGAATTTGTGACGAGACCAATCTCGCCACGGTGCATTGGAGGAGCCTGGTTGCCTGCCTGCCTGCTGCCTTTAGACTATGGCCCCATGTTGAAACGCTTGATTTTCCCCTACGAAGACACGAAAGCCGGGTCATTCGGTGCTGGCCCTGTTTGAGCGGTGATACCCCAGATAGCTAAGCCATGGAGCCCATTCGTATAATGAAAGACTATGGGAAAGACTTTGGCTCCATGGCAATTGAACTGTATGTGTGTGCCCTGAGCGCCATTCAGAAATAATGTGTGTGGCGAAACCGGCCTCGCCACGTGTCTTTGGAGGGGGCTGCTTGCCCGCCTCTTGCCTTTGGACTATGGACCAGACTTTATGTGAAGGTATTAACCCAGATAGCTATGCCATGGAGCCCATTCGTGTAGTTAAAGACTTCGGCTCCATGGCAATTGAACTGTGTGAATAGGATCTGAGCGCTATTTGGTAGTTTTGTGCGCTCAGATCCCAGCTATCTGGGGATATGTGACATGTCTGTGTTTTATGTGTAAATGTGACTTTATGTATTTTAAAGTGTTTTGTGTCTTTTTGCAACAATGTGCTTAATGGAGTCTTGTGTCTGTCCTGGGAGATAATTGAATTACTTATCTCCAGGATAGAAGACTCTGAAACTGGTTTGGGCCAGAAAGCCATGCTTCATTTAGTCACAAAGGACTTTCCCTTAACTTTTGAACCCCTGGTCTGATTCGTGCCATTTTTTAATATGTTGTTCCCCTGAATGGATTGATTATGAAAATGTATGTTTTATGTTTGTGACATGTATATTTTAGAAGTTATAAATATTGTGTAAAAACTGTATTCCTCTGCCGGTGATAATGAGATTACCCATTGTGTTCAGTAATCATATCACCTGCAGAGGGGAGGATTTTGTGTGGGAGTGTCTGGGTGTATTGTACGGATTGATTGGTTGTTTTGTAACGCCCTGTGGGCTGTACTATGTTTGTGGATTGGGAATAAAAGAGACTGTATGTGACAGTACAGGGAGTTCCTGTTTTAACCCTCAAAGTGAAGTGTCGTCTCATTATTGGGGAAAGGATTTATTGTATGCTGTTCCAGTTTGACTGCTAGGAGAGTAAACCTATTTGTATGGTTCCTATTCAACTGTCTACAGCATTCATATGCTTGAGAGGATTCATATGCTTCTCCGGTTCGGTGGTTGTGGTGTCTGCTGCAGTGCTTGGAGTCCTCAGGAAGCGCTAGGAGCATCCTTTAACGGAGGTACCCAGTCGGGGTGCCAGGCGATCCGTTACATTGGTGGCAAGCGGTGGGATGGCGTCCTAGTGCGAGGTAAAGCAGCTCAGAGACACAGTTCGTGGAGTTACAAATTGAGGGCAACGCTAGCACACGTGCAGCGCCCCTGGGAGCAGAGGTATCCAGCGACTTGGAGCAGACAAGTATGGAAGGCTCTGGCGATGATTGGATGGCCAGGTGAGGCAGCGAGTGGCTCAGTATGGGGATGATTTACCCATGGAGGTACGCCGGGTGATCTGGAACCAGGTCACGGCCGAGCGAAACACAAGGCTGGCCCGAGAATTCCGGCTGGCGAAAGAGAGAGAGTATGCTCAGCGGAAGGAGTGTTACAGCAGCCGAGTAGAGGCTGCATCCGAGGAGGCTAGCCGTCTCCCCCTGAGGCGGCCGCAGGAACCCGCAGTAGGGGTCCTCATAGACTGGTCCTGTGAGGAACCACAACAGGCAGGTGGAGATGGGACCGGCCCAGATCCCCAGCAGCAGCCGGAGTTGCCAGGTGCGGAAGCAGGTGGTCCTTACTCGCAAATGTTGAGGGACCTCACAGACTGGTCCTGGGAAGACCCACAGATGGCAGGTGGAGATGGGACTGCGGTCTCTCTACCGGCCCTACAGGGATGCTGGGTGGTCGGCCCAGATCCCCAGCGGAGCAGAAGGTGCCGTCCTTCCTCCCCAGCGGCAGTGTGAGTCCCAGGGAGCCGAAGGGGTCGTCCTTCCTCCCCAGAGGCAGTGTGAGTTCCAGGGAGCCGAAGGTGCTGTCCTTCCTCCCCAGCAACAGTGTGAGTTCCAGGGAGCCAAAGGTGCTGTCCTTCCTCCCCAGCGGCAGTGTGAGTCCCAGGGAGCTGAAGGTGCGGTCCTTCCTCCCCAGCGGCAGTCTTTTTCCCAGGGAGCGGAAGGTGCAGTCCTTCCTCCCCAGCGGCAGTGTGTCCTGCAGGAAGCGGAGACAGTCTGTCTTTCACCCCAGCCGCAGGACAAAATATTGAAAGGGGAGACAGTTGGTCCCCCTCTCCACCAGCAAAGAGAGTGTCAGGGAGAGGAGCAGGTTACCCCCTCTCCCCAGCGGCAGTCTACAGTTCAGAGAGAGGAGCTTGTTACACCCTCTCTCCAGCGGCAGCCTAACCCACCAAGGGGAGATGTTAAGCCCCACAACTATGCAGATGGGACCGTAGTCTCTACACTTGCAGCACCAGGGGTAGGGACGGTCGGTCCTGTCCCCCAGCCACAGAGCAGTGTATCCAGAGGGGAGACAGTCGGTCTCCCCCTCCCACAACCAGGCTCCAACCAGGCTACTTCAGTGGTAGCACTGGCACCCGGGCAGAGTACCGCTGGTCTCTGCCCACTCAGCAACCCACCAAGGCAGTCTACCAGACCCCCGCACAGCCGTGGTGAGGCACCTGGACATGGACAAGTTGCTATTTTATCTAGGTGTAGTAACCAGTTATTGTGGGTGGGCTGCATTGCTGTTTGTGCTTCGTGGGTGGGTTGCTGGACTAACCAGGGCACTGACCGGCAGGAGGTCAGATACCCTGTTAGTCTGGATGGTAAAGGGGAGAAATGTGGCAAAACCGGCCTCGCCACGTGTCTTTGGAGGGGGCTGCTTGCCCGCCTCTTGCCTTTGGACTATGGACCGGACTTTATGTGAAGGTATTAACCCAGATAGCTATGCCATGGAGCCCATTCGTGTAGTTAAAGAATTCGGCTCCATGGCAATTGAACTGTGTGAATAGGATCTGAGCGCTATTTGGTAGTTTTGTGCGCTCAGATCCCAGCTATCTGGGGATATGTGACATGTCTGTGTTTTATGTGTAAATGTGACTTTATGTATTTTAAAGTGTTTTGTGTCTTTTTGCAACCATGTGCTAAATGGAGTCTTGTGTCTATCCTGGGAGATAATTGAATTACTCTCCAGGATAGAAGACTCTGAAACTGGTTTGGGCCAGAAAGCCATGCTTCATTTAGTCACAAAGGACTTTCCTTAACTTTTGAACCCCTGGTCTGATTCGTGCCATTTTTTAATATGTTGTTCCCCTGAATGGATTGATTATGAAAATGTATGTTTTATGTTTGTGACATGTATATTTTAGAAGTTATAAATATTGTGTAAAAACTGTATTCCTCTGCCGGTGATAATGAGATTACCCATTGTGTTCAGTAATCATATCACCTGCAGAGGGGAGGATTTTGTGTGGGAGTGTCTGGGTGTATTGTACGGATTGATTGGTTGTTTTGTAACGCCCTGTGGGCTGTACTATGTTTGTGGATTGGGAATAAAAGAGACTGTATGTGACAGTACAGGGAGTTCCTGTTTTAACCCTCAAAGTGAAGTGTCGTCTCATTATTGGGGGAAGGATTTATTGTATGCTGTTCCAGTTTGACTGCTAGGAGAGTAAACCTATTCGTATGGTTCCTATTCAACTGTCTACAGCATTCATATGCTTGAGAGCATTCATATGCTCCTACGGTTCGGTGGTTGTGGTGTCTGCTGCAGTGCTTGGAGTCCTCAGGAAGCGCTAGGAGCATCCTTCAACGGAGGTACCCAGTCGGTGTGCCAGGCGATCCGTTACAATGTGCGCTCAGATCTGAGCTATCTGGGGATATATTGAATGTACCTGTTTTGTGCAATGGCTGCACAGTTATATGTTTTTATGTGTTTTATTGTCTTTTGCTGCCATGTGTTCAATGGAGTTTTGCCTCTGTCCGTGGAGATAATTGGATTACTTCCCAATTATCTCCAGGATAGAAGACTCTGTGGAACTGTTTTTGGACAGAAAAGCCATGCTTCATTTGGTCACAAAGGACTTCGATCTATCTTTTGAACCAATGGACCAATTTGGATGATTTTGACATATGTTTGTATTTGGAGTATTCTGATTCTGAAAATTTATGTGAATGTGATGCATACTTTTCAAGTTATAAATAATGTGGAAAAACTGTGTTTCTCTGCCGGTGATAAATACATTACCCATTGTGTAAGATAATTGTATCAGAGGCAGAGGGGAGGATTTTGTGTGGGAGTGTCTGAGTGTATTGTATGTGTTTATTGGTTGTTTTCCAAAACCCTGTGGGTGAAACTAATGTGTATATAAGAACAATAAACCCACAGCTCTGACTGTTCCTGCTTGACCCTCAACACGGAGCCTTGTCTCGTTCTTGGGGGGATTTACTGTATGCTGTTCCAGTTTGACTGCTAGGAGTGGAAACCTATTCATATGGTTTTTCCAATTCGACTGTTTATAGCATTTGTATGGTTCTGATTCAGCTGTTTACGGCATTCATATGCTTCTCCGGTTCTGTGGGTTGGTGTCTACAGTAGCTGCCTGTGTCTCTGAAAGGGAAGATCTACTAAACGGCTTTTAACCCCTTTATATGCCTGGTGGTGTCGTTACAGAATGTCTTTCCCCAAGTAAGTGGGTTAATCTCATAAGAGCAGACATTAGGCAATTAGTGTAGGACCTGCCAAAGATGGGGTATATTGATGTTGTGGCAGGCTTATGCAATGTATGATCATATAATTTAACTAAACCCACATTATTTTTGCCTAGATTAGGTGTTTTAAAAAAACCAAATAAAATCTTTCAAAATTGAAGTTGCTGTTTATTGTATAGGTGAGTGCGCTGGATCTTGTGTATTATATATATATATATATATTGATTTTCTCACTCCTCCTGGGTGGTATGTTTATTCCTCATTCTCAGGTCCTCTACCAGAGGCCTGGGAGTTTGAGGGTCCTGCGTAGTATCTTAGCTGTTCCTAGAACTGCACTCTTCTGGACAGAGATCTCAGATGTCCCACCTGGAATCTGTTGAAGCCACTCCCCCAACTTGGGGGTCACAGCCCGAGTGCTCCTATCACAACTGGGACTACTACTGCCTTCACTTTCCACATCCTTTCTAGTTCTTCTTTCAGTCCTTGGTATTTGTCCAGCTTCTCATGTTCCTTCTTCCTGATGTTATAGTCATTGGGTATTGCCACATCCACCACAACTGCATTCTTTCGTTCTTTGTCTACCACTACAATGTCTGGTTGGTTGGCCAGCACTTGCTCATCTGTCTGGATCTTGAAGTCCCACAGGATCTTAGCCCTGTCATTCTCAACTACCCTTTGTGGTATCTCCCATCTGGACTTAGGCAGGTCCAATCCATATTCTGTGCAGATATTTTGGTACACAATCCCACCACTTGGTTGTGTCTCTCCATGTATGCTGTTCCTGCTAACATCTTGCATCCATCTACTAGGTGTTGGACTGTCTCAGTTGCCTCTTTGCACACTCTGCACCTTGGGTCTTGCGTGTGGTAGACTCCAGCTTCTATTGATCTGTTGCTGAGTGCCTGCTCCTGTGCTGCTAGGATTAGTGCCTCAGTGCTGTCTTTCAGTCCTGCCTTTTCCAACCACTGGTAGGATTTTGTCATGTGAGCCACATCCACTTTCTGCAGGTGGTACACCCCATGAAGAGGTTTGTCTTGACAAGGAACCTCTCTTTTTCTGCATCGTCGATCTGTGGTATTCTCAGGCATTCCCTTTGCAGTTCATCTTTGGAAGCCATCTTCGTGATGTACTTGTGGATGCTCTGTGTTCATATCCCCAAGTATCCACACACAAAAAAATAAAAAAATAATATATCTAGATATGTATATATTTGTGCTCGGAATTTAATAGGTTATGGAATGTAAGTAGATGCATAGTTGGTTGAGGTGTTCCGAAACCAACGAACGAGTAGGCCTGTAATAAAAGAGGGCCTACTAAGGTGAAGATAACGTAATGAGTGATGGGGTCAATCAGCTTGAACGGCAGAGGTGTGTATGGGCTGAGAGTTTAAGTAGGGGACATAACTCCTTCCACAAATTCAGGCCTATTGGCCTTTTAACTTGTGCTCGGAATTTAGTAGGTTATGGAATGTATAAGTAGATACATAGTTGGTTGAGGTGTGCCGAAACCAATGAACGAGTAGGCATGTATTAAAAGAGGGCAAAAAGGAGGATGAAAAAGAAACACACTTTATTTTGTTATAATGCTAGACATCTAAATGCTTGTATTAGTTCTTTCTCTGGTCATGGTATATAAGTATTGTAAATTGAAGATTTCCAGCAGCCCAGTCTTTTGATGATGTGGACTGGTGTGTTAGAGCTAGATGCTGATGATGCTGTGCCTATACGGAAGGAGAGACCGGAGAAGGAAGCAGGGTTGTAGCCTAACCGTAACAGAAGAGTTCTGACATGAGACGTGAACTTAGCTGTGGTGAGAGGGTACCTGCTTTAGTGGTTAATATGCCATGAGTACCTTGGAAATGGGGAAAACTATGGCCGGTGACATACCTGTGACTGCTGCAGAGCTACAAAAGTCGGATGTCGATCCAGACACACATGCATTGACTGAGAGTGTCTGCTGAGCATTCTCAGCTGATAAAAGCAACTCTGTGCATGGACATATGCATTGAATTAACATTAGCCAGCTCTGAGCACTTGTTCTGGGCTGCTAATGATGCCTAAATGACGCTGCAGGAGGTAGAGTTACAACTCTGGCCGCAAAGGAGTTAACGCCGTATGAATAACTGAATATACAGATTCCAGGCACCATGCCCACTTTTTACTGAAATGTTTATGCTGTTTGGACCAACTATCTAATAAATGCTATTGACATATTTATTTATTTTATTTTTTTTAATTTAAATGTTTTTATTTCTCGTGTACAAGGAAATGGGGTACAGAAAAGAAAGGGAATGTTCAATGATCACATTTCAGGGTTACATGAACTGTGCATCTATGGTATATGTCACATCACATACATAAACATAACATACATAAACATAAGCATCCCGGTGTTAAACTTAACCGGGGTTGCATCAAGGTCATACCGCAGGGTGTACAATTTCCCTTTAATGAAGGTCGGATAGTAAGAGGTTGTCCCCCTACCGTCTCGGGAATGGTAGTATGTGTGAGTAACCCTGCAATCAGCAAACAACAAACAAACAATAGGGGGGGGGGGAGGGGGAAGGGGGGGTTTTATTGACCCTGCCTAGGTCGAGGTAGGTGTTATGTATTTCCTTTTAAGCTCTTTCCGTGATAGACTTATTTGCCATTCCGTGGCTCGCTCTTCCTATCTGACCGCTAAGAGTTCTGTCTTACCCGGGTCTGCCTCTTGGGCGGTTATGTCCTGGTGTTAGTCCAAAACTCTGTCCAGGGTTCCCAAGTCTTAAGGTGTCTATTTCGTTTCCCCATTAACGACCAGTGGATGTCCTCTATCTCCCTCACTCCCTCTACCTTTTGTACCCATTGCTCTATGGTTGGGATGCTAGGTTTACGCCAGTACAGTGGGATCAGGGCGTTTGCCTCCCCTAGCAAAATGTGCAGTAAGTGTTGCCTGTGCGATTCCTTAAATGTACGTGGCCAGCCGAGGAGTACTTGGGGTGCCTCTAGGCGGATGGTTGGTGCTAGTATCTTTGTAATCTCAGAGATTATGGTTCGCCAGAAACGCTGAATGTCCCGGCAGCTCCACCAAATATGTAACATATCCCCTCTGCTGGCTGAGCATCTCCAGCAGATATTGTCAAGTGAAGGGTTTATAGCATGCAACACGGCTGGTGTTCTATACCATCTAGTAACCCGTTTATAGAAGGTCTCTTTGCGCGTGACACTGATCGAGGTTTTGAGACCCGTCTCCATAATACTGGACCAGTCCTTGTCCGAGAGATGTATGTGAAGGTCTGTCATCCATTTCTGTTGGAATGTGGGAGTCGTGGGTTCTCTGTCTGCCGACTGAAGGATGCGGTATATTTTAGATAGGGGCCGTTTACGGTCGCCCGTTGGGCCACAAAGGAGTTCAAAGTGCGTGTCTCCTCTCTTGGTCCAAAGGGGGAGGACGTGTTTCGTCAGGAAACCCTTAAGCTGTGCTCTGGTCATAATGTCCAGGAGAGTGGCATGTCTCTGTGTTACTTGTCCGTCTTTAAATTGAGGTGGGTCATCCTCAGTTAGTAGTTCAGTAATGACTGGTGAATGCGTTCCCGTGAGGCGGGCAAGTGAGGGCCCTCCCCATCCTCCCTGGAAGTCGGGATTATAGGCCGTAGGGAAAAATCTAGAGATTCCAGGGGACAGTCCCCACTTATCTTTGTGCCGTCTCCAGATTGTGAGCGTGTTGTGAATGAGTGGATGTCTTGAGGGGGTCAGGGATTTGAGTTGGCATGTTTGCCACGGGAGGGTCGATAGAGGGACCGGTACAAAGCTCTGTTCTAGATCGTACCACGATCTTTTCTTGCTTGTGTCTGTCCACTCTTTTAGTCTGGTAAGTAAGACTGCTACGTAATATTTATATATGTGAGGTAGTCCCAGGCCCCCCCTGTCCGTGGTGGACGACAATGTGGACAAGGCAAGTCTTGCCGGTTTGCTTCCCCAAATATATTTAACGAAGATAGTCTTCATTCGTTTAAAGAATGACCCTGGGAGTGGAATAGGCAAGGCCTGTAGTATATATAGGATTTTTGGCAGTACCATCATCTTTAAAACACTGATCCTGCCCATTAGGGAGAT